AAGTAATATATATGGGCATTAAGGTAGTGTTCTAATTTTAAATTTATGTTTCCTTTTTCCCTCTTAAGTCATCCGAAGGAGAGAGACGAAACGAAAGCGCGAAGAGCTGAACGAAGTGGAGAAGAAGAAGCAGAGGATTTCATCGAGAGAAAGGGGGGAGGAATCGCAGCGCTCCCTTCGCTTCTCTGAGCTCCATAAGCCCTCCCTCGGTCGAGCCTTTCCTCGCATTCGTATCCTCAAGGTTCGACCTTTCTTTGCTTGCTTCGTCCCTCTGCTTCCCTCCCCTTCCCCCGCTCTCGATTTGAAATTTCCCCCTCCTGCCTTCCAGGTGCGATTCCGCGCCTGCTCGGGTTGGCACGGGATCGAGCTTCACAGCATCGATAACGAGCAATTTTTCTGCAAGGAATGCGATCTTTCTTGAGCTTCTGGCCCCTGAATTGGTTGTTCCACTGGGTGGGTTCAGCTCTTCTATGGTTTCGATCCAGTTTGATCGCGATGCTCTTCCCGTGCGAGGCCTTCCCAGTTACTTCGATTTTGGGATCGTTGCTCGCCAAGTGGATGTTTATCGTCCCTTCTTGCTCTGGGTTTTTATGCGATGAGGAGGAGATTGATTATAGCTTTTGGAATCCGCTGGAAGTGGATCAAGATTTAGCCCTTCTTTGGTTGAGAGAAGAGATTGGAAGGACCAAATAGGAACACTAATTTTATGTTGATCTGGTGTGTTATGTGGCCGCTAGGCACTGGGACATGCCGATGCTGCAGCTTCGCATACCATCGGATCAATCTCAGTGACCTCAAGTCGCAGATAGCTAAAAAGCGTGGACCTGAGCGTTCCCGAAGATATTTGCTATATGGATAAGCTATAGGCGCAGAAGCTGAGCAAACGAGACTTTAACAGGTTCTGCCTTATGATCATCGGGCACGAAGATCTTTGTGTTTAGTAGCATCTACTAGCAGTGCTAGTCTGAGTAGCAACATTTACTGCAGAGAATTATGTCATTCTGAGACTCAAAGAAAGGGATACAGAAAATAGCAGAAGCACAGGTCTTGGAAGGAGTCGCATTGGATTGCTCTAATCTGTTAAATTATATCTTAGATGATTATTTGAAGCATCTACTTAGTTCATGTGTTAAATTATTAGGAACAAGTTCAGGTCATGATCAAACATAGCATCCAGTCTTTGAGCAACAGGCTCAGGTGAAGCCAATTAATGGTGTTTGGCCTCATGTACAATATAGTTGTGGGTCTTCAGACTACATGCAAAGGCTGAAAACAAACAGCCTCATATCTACATAGGGTTTTAGGGTATCAGTGGAGTTGAACGCAACCTGGTGAAGATTGGCCGTTGCTACTTGAGAAAATATGCCTCCATACATATGAAGAATAAAGCCAGGTCAATTTCAGAGTTTCCTTATCTGTGGAATTCTTGTAAGGTGGATCTTACAAAACTTCCAGGGTTGTCCTTTAGCCTGTTGGCAACTCTTGTGGAGCATTATCATGGATTAGAGCCAAATTCTGATGATATCCTTGCCATGGTGTGTTCAAATGAATCATCTCCCTGAAATCAGTTAGTGACAGAGGAAAATGTACTTTTTCCTTCTCTTGGCTCTATGTTTTGAATCCATAAGGGGACACGTTTCACCAGTACCAGAGTAGTCAATCTTTTATATGGTTTACAACATTCTGGGATGATATCAGTTTCACAGAATCCTAATGTGTAACTTCGATATAGGTAAAATCAGTTAAGCAGCTTCTTTGTGTAGTTGTGGTGTATGTAATATCAATTGCATCAGTTGCTTGATTAGTTTTAGTTGTAGAATTCTTATACTGTTTCATGATTGTTTTGATAGAAAAATTTGGGTTACCCCAATATAGGACACATCTAAGGAATCGAGTATCTAGAGAAGTCCTATGTACCTTCTCTTTACAGAGTTAAATCTAATTGTTTTCTTTCTATGTTTGTCTCAAACTTGATTGTTTTCACGACTTGAACCTCCATAACCTAAATCGCAAAAGGACAGCCTTATCATGGTGCCAAGGCTATTTAGAAATTGAGCAGTCTGGAATATTGCCATTGGATTCGAGACACATGATACGTCGAAGCATACTAAACACATAGTAGACTGTAGGGATACATAATGGATTGTTATTTGAGACACTATGGGCTAGAAATAACCTTGTATTATTTTGAAATATTAAACGAGCTGGCTTATCAATATTTTGATAATCATCGTGTAATGGGACTGTATAATGTTGTTTGTAGAGGCAATAAAATACATACAACCATCATAGACCCACTCTAAACAGGGTGGCATGTTTCCATTGTGTGCCAAATCATCAGATCTAGTAGATTTGATGATGATTGGAGCAGGCAAGCATGGCTCCAATGCATTGTATAGTTTTGTAGCTAAAGTTGATTTGGTAAGCTAATTATTTGTTTTTGATCCAAGTCATGCAGGATCCAGTTAGTTCTAAATCTAATCATGACACTAAAGAGGTAGTACTTTTTGTATGGATCTAGCTGAGATCCAACTTTTCCACGGTCATGTTTAGCCTCTGTGAATTCTAGACTGAGCTTCTATTTAGATCTCTGTTGAAGATGATGAACAAAAGTTTAGACCACTCAAATTTTGTTTGGTACTCTGTTTGATGAGCATGAAGAAAGCAAAACTTAGTTGTGAAACAACAGTTACGATAGAAACATTTGGGTTTGATATAACAACTGATCGATATATGTTCATGGTCTTCTGTAGATATGAAGGATACATTGAAGAACACTACCATGAAACCCTTGTTCCACCTCAATCGAGGGGAGAGGTTTCTGATGTGTATGTACACACATGTTTGTTTGGTACTCTGTTTGATGAGCATGAAGAAAGCAAAACTTAGTTGTGAAATAACAGTTGAGATAGAAACATATGGGTTTGATATAGCAACTGGTTGATATATGTTCATGGTCTTCTGTAGATATGAAGGATACAATGAAGAACACTACCACGAAACCCTTCTTCCACCTCAATCAAGGGGAGAGGTTTCTGATATGTTTGTACATGCATACTTGATTCTCATGGTACTGTACAGTCATATATACTTTTTATGATCTTATAAGGTTGGTAAATGTAGAAGAGTTGGCACTAATCTTGTTTTCTTCGATTTCCTCATTTAGTTTTTCACCAACAAGTTTCGATCAGTGCCAAGATGACAGCCACCAGAAAGTATGCCTGTGCTGCTCTGATGTCTCTCTCTTGGATTTGGGCAGAATCTCCCACATGACCTGCACAATTTGGTTATCCACACATTTACACATCGTCATGGAGCTCAAGAGTTCTGAAGCCTGTTGGATGGTGAAAGAACACAGTGACTATTATTCTTTGGTGCCACAAAAATCAGAACCAGGTAATGTGACTCAAGTCTATTGATGCATTTCTTTCGTATGATTGTTCTAGACTAGTAAAGTGAGCATAGCCATGATATTATTTCTCCTCTAATATGGAACGGAATCATTTCTCATCAGAATGAGGTCAACAATTGAAACACAAACAAACCAGCCAAGATAAATAACTGCTTGTATCATAATCGGCATGATTAGGTCTTTTGTTTAAGTCAGACTCGTAACTGGAAAACTGATGCATGCTACTGATGTTATATTCTAGTCTGTCCAACAACTATCAGTTAAAACCCCATGAACCAATACTCTTATGATCCACTTGTTTTGGATCAAACAATTGAGTAGTTGCATACTAAGGACCTTAGATATAGTTGAGAAAATACTATCATACCCCCACAAGATGGTGCTCCTGTCAAGGATACCAATCTTTGATTGATGTAAAACAAACAGTTTACGAGCTAGAGACTTCATGAGTAGGGCAAAAATAGATCGCTGTTGAAGACAGTTACCATTCGTCAAGGAGGAAAGATTTATCGCACCGACGACCTGACGACGGAAAAGCAATAGTAGAAAGCCTCCGTTCGTCAAGGAGGAAAGATTTATCGCACCGACGACCTGACGACGGAAAAGCAATAGTAGAAAGCCTGATGGAAAAAATAGAAGATAAGAACAATTATTGAAGATGCTTTATTGAAGTAACTTTAGCTTGAATACATTAGCATGTCCCTCTCCTATTTATATAGATTAGGAGGGAGGATTTTTCTCAACAGAATATATTTCCTTATATAGTTGAGGAAATCATCTCCTATCATCATTTCTTTGTTAATTATCAAATAAGAGTAATAAGTATTTTTTTTTAATCCTTTAAAATAATAGTTTATACTAGTGTAATTGAAGTTAACATCGGTCATCAGATAGACCATATATACCAGTAGTTGAATCTGTCATAGAAAAATAGTGAATAAAATGTTTGTTTGGAATCTTTCCGAATGAAAGTTGACCAATATTTGGAGAGAAGGAAATAGATGTGATAAGTGGTTGTCAAATTTTGTTAGGATAAAATGGTGACCGATTTGATCTTTGCAACTTTTCTTTTATGCTGATTTCAAGAGCAGATGATGTGTTAGACTTCTAAAGTAATAGAGTTTCTTTTTTGCAAAAATATTAGGAGGCATATGTTTCATAAATGTTCAATGCATTTCATGTATCGTGAATCAAGTCATCCATGTGCTGGTTTGTCATTTGGCATTATTCATATTATCTACATGTTTTTAAGTAGCATCATGAGCAAACATTTAGATTAGCCCTTTATTCATATAACATGAAATTTAAATACTAATTATTATTTTTAGGTTGGGGACAATAAGTTAATTGTATTGAATCGAATCATAGTTTGGACAAATCATAACTCACATATAACTTCCAATCAAATCTACAATTTGTTTTGAGAACAGCTGCAGTCGGTATCCTTTTCCGTGCTAGTTTCAAGATGGGCGGAGTTGGATTGGGCCGGGCCGGGCCGGGCCGGGCCAGTCTCCTAGATTTTAAAACTCCGGTCCAACCTGAACCGAGATAAAACGGAATTGGAACAACCAATCAGCAACGACAAACGTGTTCGACCATAGATTTGATCCCATCACGCCGCTTGGCCGCTACATTACGCGGCACAAGCAACTGGCGAACCCTAAACCCCGACCCCTACCTCTCTTCCCTGCGGCGCTCTCGCTTTCTTCCTCTTCTCCACCTCTCTCTATATATTGGTAATTCACCCTCCCCTCTTCTCTCTCTTTCTGTGACGATCTTTCTGTTGAGGCATTTTCTGCTTCTCTCCTTTTTGTCTTCTTTTCTTTTTGGTTTTTTGTGTGCATTTTCTTGATTATTTAGTCTGTGACAAGATGGACGAGGCTCTTGAAACAGAGTCAAACAGCAGGCGCCTCTTGTAATCCTTGGCGATATCCCTGTCTGCCGCATGGAGCCGACATCAGACCGCCAGGCGAAGATTGCTTGGATTCCTCATCTCGTCAGTCCAACGCCACAATACCTGGCCATATCTTCTCACATCCAAAAACCACACTTTTCTTGATCTTTCCTTGATGTTTATGTAGTTTGTAAGTTCATGAATATATATCAATCAGTCTTATAAATGGCACTAATTCAGACAACGGGTGCTTTGTTGCTCGGATAACAAGCCACCTTTTGCATAGTGCCTACAGAGAGATCCACCAGCGTGAGGCTGCCACACGATTGTGGGGCGTGTTCAGCTCGTTGGCCCCCTGCAAATTTAAGGCTGCCACATTTATCTGATAAGTGATCGTTGGATGGATCTCAGTTTTCTTCGTGCTTTCTCTTTTTATCTCTATTTTTCAGTCATTGCTACTGTTTTCACTGTTATTGATTTTATTTTTCTGTTAGTATTTGGTTCTCATGGCCTTTTTGCTTATTGTTTTTGACGTGATGGTCTATATCATCACCCTTTACCCACTTTTCTTCTTAGTTTTGTTGAGTATAGAGATTAATCAACTGAATAATTTTTTCATCATGTATCTCAGAGTGTTGAAAATATTTTTTTTAAAGATCAGATGTTAATTCTAAGCAGATTAATTTGTGCTGAGTCATTTCAGGGTTATTTTCCCTGAGCTTGGATTCAAGTTCGATATATATTCGTAGATGTGTTAGTACTTCTCTCCTGCTCTGAGCATGGAAACCATGAAAAAAAGGAGAACTTTGACCGAAGAACGTCAGTGGTAGAGGGATTGCTTTGGACGAAACAAATTATAGTAGATTAAGTTATCGTTCATGTTGGTTGATTAGTTAATGTTCAGATGATACCAATGTTTTCTTGTATTTGGAATGAATCCAGCAGATGCCATCAGTAAATCTTTTAAAACATTGTGCATTATATTCTCTAAGATATCAGGTTTTCGGCAATGGTAATTGCATGATTATTTGTCTACCTTTGGGTTTCTCTCAGTAATTTATGTATTAACAATCAAGCTCTTGTTCTTACAAATTTTAATAAAAGAATAAAAATGATTTGTAAATGTAATTTATATGATTCTAATACATTAATAATTTCACGATAAATCAAATATGATCGGCAATATTTTTCCAACATCATTAATTAATAAAAACCCATTAATCAATAAAATAATATTTAAAGATTTTATAAACTTAGTTTGTGTGCTTCTACGTTGGTCTTACCGTCCGGTGACTCACCGGTTCGACCATCCTCTGACTCACCATCCTCTGACTCATTCGCTTGATCGTATCTCTTTGGCTCCGTCTCCCTCGCCTCCACCCTCTCCATCCCTTCGACTGCTGCCGATCAAGTTGAGCAGTTCTTCCCACCCTGCTTCCACTCCTGGCCATCACCACCACCACTTGCTGATGCGCACTCGACTTGCCCTCCGGCTTTCCCGGTGCGATGGCGATCTCAAATGCTACGGCGAGTGCTCTGACTCTGTTCCGTCGCGACTCCATCTTGTAGGCCGTCGCTGGCTTTACCTCATTGTGAACCGGCGTCGGCTCGTTCCTCCCGTTCGCCTGCCTCTCCGCGAATGCCTTGTCTTCTTCCACTTCGCTCTCTCAGTTCTTGCCGTTGTCCCTCTCGAGCAGACTGCTGCTGCAGGAGTTCTCGGAGATATGGAGGGCAGTGAACTTGCTCTGTAGATCGACCTTCCACGTTTCTCGGAAGAAGTAGCCTCCGGTGGAGCCACGGAGTTGTGTTTCCGGCTCCTGGGGTATCCGCAGGCAGCGAGCGACATGGCAAGAGCTCACGGTTGGCTTGAGATAGCTCGGTATCGACTTCCCTGGTAGTTCAGCAACGGCATCTCCTCCTCCGTTGTTGCTGCTTCTTGGTGTACCCTACATGTTGCACTCCTTCCTTGAACGACGTCAAGAACAGCAGATTCCCTTATCATCAGATGACACATGCGAATCTCGAGATCTCCATGTCATCATCTCTCATGGTATTACTGTGGCTACCAACTTATGAATGGGACAGACATCAGAAGATTCCACCACTCCAGAATCGAAGAGTATGGGTCAATACAGCCTCCATGTTCTAATTAGGGGGGTTGACCAGGTCAAAGAAATCTCTATGACTTAGCTTCAGGATCTGATGGACAAAGAATGAACAGCCAGTTTAGATGTATGATTACATGGGGCACAGACAATTGTTTCCATGGAAGAACAGGCCATATTTAAGCTTCAGGATCCTTAATCTCTTCTCGTAATAATGATAAGTTAAGGATCTTATGCTCTATTGTCATTTTAATTTCTCAATTAATACTAATTGATTTAATTATGGTTGATGTAAAAGTATGATGACAGTGATTATGTTTGTTCTCCAGTGGCAAGCCACAAAACCAACACCACACTAAGAGAGGCACGATCAAACCAAGGTTAAGTATGAGAAATGGACAGAGTATTAAATTATAATTGAAAAATATATCAAAGTAAAACAGATGAACCTTAAAATATTTATTACATAATAACTGTTTATTTTCATGGTGAAGAAGCTGACTTTATTTTTATTTTTTTAAGTGATCAAGGTAGATCATTCATGCTTGTTAATATCAAATTAATCATCGATCCATAAATCTAATCGAATACCTAAAGAGGATTGAAACATTTTCGATAGAGATAGAACTCCTACGACATAAGTGACACTCGTAAAATTAGTATTATAGATGTACCATATAAAGTCACTCTTAACACTTATGAAATGAGCATCTATATCTCAAACAATATCTAGATCGATATAATTAATCTAAAATACTGACCATATGGATTCCAAAGTTTGTGCACCACAATCTTGACTTTGGGACTCTCATTTCATGCTTAGATTTATGTGTGTCGCAATGTACTTACCTAACTTGACTTTGTCAAAAATAATATGAAGCATAGCATTAAGAAATCGTAATAATTAGGGAACTAAAATGTGCCACTTAATCCGAGATAACAGAGGATAAATTAGACAAGGTTAGGAATAAATATACCCTCCGGTATCAATTTAATGTTAATCTGTTCCAGCGGGGTCCCAAACGTGATATGATTTATGTGGAGTTCCATATTATTATTAGGCCCATAAGATAATATGGGCCTCACTGGGTATCTTATGGGCCTCACTGGGCTACCTCCGAGCTTAACAGAGAGAATCGAACGGCTACGGTTGCCGGATGAGTCCTGATCTCGCTTGCAAACCCTAACGCCGAGAACAAAACCCCACCCGTATTAATAGCGGTCGCCACCATCGCCCCCCATTATTCTCGATCCTCCGCCGATCCGAGAGAGATCCTAAAGGTTACTCTCGAACGCCATTTGATCGTTCATGTCTTCTTTTATCGATTTAGGGTTTAGGAATCGACTTCTTTTTTCCCCTTGATTTGGTGCTTGATTTCATCTGCGTTCTTGCCAGAGGAGGGCGATGGCGACGGAGGAGGCGAAGGCGGTGGTGCCGGAGTCCGTGTTGAAGAAGAGGAAGAGGGAAGAGCAGTGGGCTCTCGCTAAGAAGCAGGAACTCGATGCCAGGAAGAAGAAGGCTCGGGAGAACCGCAAGCTGATCTTTGGAAGAGCCCAGCAGTATGCCAAGGAGTACGAATCCCAGGTGCGTGTTGCGAATTGTTGTACCACTAGTATTTCTGTTCTATGGTGTTCTTGTTGTTAAAACTTCGATTTTTTTTTAATCTCATTTGGATCTGATTTAATGATAGGAGAAGGAACTGATCCGCTTGAAGAGAGAGGCCAGGATGAAGGGCGGATTCTATGTCAGCCCCGAGGCCAAGCTTTTGTTCATCATCCGCATCCGAGGGTACACGTTCTTTTCTATGTTCTAACTTTGTGGTCTATTATGTGATAGATGGATTTGCTTTGAGATTTTGATGATTGTTGCTTCTTATTTCTCTTCTTGTTGTTGACTTGCAATAGCATAAATGCCATGCACCCGAAAACCCGGAAGATCTTGCAGCTCCTCCGTCTGAGACAGGTGCAAATGAAAAATTCATCATACATGTTCAAATTACTATAGCGTTTCTTAGTATTTAATCGTAATTAAATGCTTCTTTTCCAAACTGCTGTAGATATTCAACGGCGTGTTTCTGAAAGTTAACAAGGCTACAATGAACATGCTGCAGAGGGTTGAGCCATACGTGACATATGGGTACTAAACGCCATCCTTTCTAGACCATTATTGCTATTGCTCAGAGTAGTGTAAGGTGAGGTGTAGTCGTTGTACTAACTGATACTTGAATGGCTCAGGTATCCTAATCTTAAGAGTGTCAGGGAGTTGATCTACAAGAGAGGGTATGGGAAGTTGAACAAGCAGAGAATTCCTTTGACAGACAACTTGGTCGTTGAGCAGGTATGTTGTGGGATGCATTGCCAGTGGGTTTTTTCTTCTAACCAAGTTTTATGAAGTTTACACAAGGTTGTTCTTTGGTTACAGGGCTTGGGGAAACATGGTATCATCTGTGTTGAAGATCTTGTACATGAGATTATGACTGTGGGACCACATTTCAAGGAGGCAAACAACTTTCTGTGGCCCTTCAAGCTGAAGGCACCGTTGGGTGGCCTCAAGAAGAAGAGGAACCACTATGTTGAGGGTGGTGATGCTGGAAATCGTGAAGATTATATTAATGAGCTCATCAGAAGGATGAACTAGATATTTGAGGTCTTTCATGTCTCTTTCATCAAGGGTTTAAGAGATCTATTGGACTTATGTTTTTGTTTCAGTAGAAATCGGGATAATTAAAACTGCAAAATTTTGTTGCTTGGATTTAATGTTGGCCTGTTTAATGATATTAATATTGTTCTCTACTATGATGGTTGAATTTTCATAAATTGTTATCTATGCTATTTGTTACTTGAGAATCTGGAGTCTTGGTTTTTTGTGGTGAGTTATAATGCTTCTCTTTGTCAGAGGGGCTGAGTTTGTGGTTGAGTTTCAGTGTGGACAACAATTTTGATGAGTGTGCATCTTATAATGTTTGTTTGTTTATATATTTGCTTGCTGGTCAGAGTTTGTCTTCTTTTATTTTTTTCCATTTTTTTAGTCCTTAATAGTCTTTAGTGTTTTCAGATGTGATCTTATGTTGTTTTTCACTAACGTATTCACAAAATTCTTGACAATTATAAGATACTTGCCAGTCCCTAGAATCAGACCATAACTTTTTTTCTGATTGATAGTGTAATGTGTATAATTTTCCGATAACAGGCGAGGCTTATGGATGCTGCTACAACTTAATGTGAATTTCAACTCGGTGCAAATATGAGGTTGAGTGGCTATTTTACTTGGGTTTATTTGTTGGTTCATACCACATTACAAATAATATGCAATGGTTCGATGAAGTATCAAGATGTGAGCCATCCTGTAATTGTTTGGATGCCCTGAGCCAAATTGCATTATGGTATACTAATCAGTTGGGTCTGTACTGATTTGTTAGAGGTCAGTAGGAATTTGGTACTTGTTGATACAGGACCAGTACCTGCCACAACAAGTTCATACCTTGCTTCGACCAGGAGTCCTAAACCTAGACATTGCTCAGGCAGGAGTTCTGGCTTCATCCAATTCCACCATTCTGTAAGTCCTTAAAGAACTCGTGGGTTGCTTCGGGTGAATTAGGTATTAGATAATCGCAATCTGATGTAAGGTGAGGACCGTCAGGTGGAGCTTGGATTGAGATGTACTAAAGGAGTTTTCAGTGTATTTTCTAATCTTTCTATTTGATTCATTATGTTGAAGATGAAAGATCAGGTTATTGCATGAGACTTCTGTTTCTTTGATGTATGAGGATAGCCAGATATTTACAATATTACAATCTTATGGAATTCACTCGCTTAGGTTGCAACTAAACAACCTTAATAATGTAGCAGGATCATGCCTTATGTTCATTAGGAAGAAAATGTAGACATCATAAGAAGAAAACAAGATGGCATGGGCTTTTGTTAGACATCATAAGGCTTGGGTGAGGCAACACCTAGTGAGTTCAACGTCCTAGTGCAGGTTTTTGTCCTATAGTTCTCAATAATGTTCCTACCCTGTAAGTTTCCTTATGTTTTCCAAATGCAGATTTTAACCTGACAAGCTTGGAAAATTGGGTCCTGCTTGAGAAGTATAGAATGTGGATTTTCACTCTTCACAAAGTTTGGATTGGGTTGTGCTAATGGCATTTTCTCCACTGTCGGGTGTTATTGTCTTAGATAGGATTTAATTGTTTTTAATGGCACTGCATGGCCCTCGAGACAATGGTTAGGAAACGGAACACAACAAAAATCTCACTTATTTGGGTCAATAGTTAGTTTTGAGCATGAATCATCCAGCACCTGCAAATAACTAAAACTGTCAGTTTTGATTTTTTCCGTACCCAGACAGTCAAAACCAACTGAAGGCTATATGTAATGTTAATGAGTTGTCATGTACATTGGCATCTTGAACATAGTACTGGTGGTATATAGTTCAGAACAATGTCGAATTCCTCGGATAAACTTATTACTTGATTGAGCGAAACTTAGGAGCTGAAATTTCTTTTCATGTGGAACAACACATTATTTAGCGTGATCCGGCACATGAAAAAATACTCTAAAAGGGATCAGTCAGGGTTATGCATTCATACTCACCACATGCTGACTGTGGCAGAATACATTGTTATGCCTAGCAACCAACATGATATTGAAAGCTATTCTGATTATATTTGCTTCCTAGAACCAAGGGAAAATTTAATTAGATTCTGCTGTTTTGTCTAGTGGTACCTGTGAGATATAAATGTGTAAAGACTGTCGAGGGAGCTGATTTTTCATGCAGATGACCAGAATTTTGGGTTTTAATTTCTACATTAGTGTGGCTGGTCTGATTTTCGGTTATCAATTAGATCCTCTGCTGAATTCAAAGCACTGGATTGTTGTGGTTCTGTTTCATCCTTAGAAGTGTGACCAATAAATCTGGATATATTTCCTTGTTTGGTTCTTTTATGATTAGCTAAGGCCTTGTGGGATATTTGTCAGGAAGTTAGTTGTCTAGCTTTTCTGCTTGCTTGCTTGAGCTGTTCTGCAAGTTGTAGACATATAGCAAAGGCTTATAAATTGGTTTCTTTGGACTTCCAGAAGATACAAATAGGAAGACAGCATTTTTTGCATGAACGAAAGAGTAGTTCATTGCATAAAATTTCTTGTTTTGTAGGTTGTCAAACAAAGAACAAGGATGACAAAATGTTGACTTGTTTGAGTATTTAAGAAATAAATGATGACTTTTCCCTTTCACCGATCAAATTTATCATGAGGCAGTTCATAATACTAGATTGTTGAAAGGTGGACTTCAAGTAGGCATCTTTGCTTATTCCTTGTTGTTAGCATCATTAAGCCACTTTTTACTGCTCTCTCTATTTGATTCTGAACTGTTGCTGTCAGCCTTAATCATACAGCATATGTTTTTTACTATAATGTTGTGGGGCAGACATTTCCCTTTCAAAGTTTGTAGTAGATGCACATTTCAAATTTGACATGGTTCAGTCTTTTTGTACACTTATAAAGTGGATTGCATTCAGTCAATCCTGTCAATCTGAGAATAAATAGTGGGCACTCATTCCTGGTTCAGCATCACCTATGAGCAGGACTGCAAGCTTAATGTGCTAGTTCTTGAATCACTACAGATTGATTAGGTGTAGGTTCAACATGCAAGTAACCTTCACAGGGACATGCTATGGCTTCTTCTTCAAGCTGAGAGAAACATCATGTGTAACTAGCAAAAAACATCCTCTCGATTGGTTTCACCTCATTGAGAGAACAGATGAACATAGATCTTTACACCCACTTATCTCCTGATGTTTACTGGGCTTGAATGTGCGATGGTCTTGTCATGATTCTTCATGAACAGATCCATTGCTATTTAAAAGATATAAGATATTTCCAATTCCCACAAAAAGTTCATTTGCATGGTACTCGCACTAAATTTGCTGATCTTTTATATGTAACAATCTTCACAGCAACACTAGAGAACAATTCCATGCTTACTACAAAGGTTTGCCAGTTCTGTTCTTCTACAGATAAAGAATCAGTTTTGCCACAGAGCATGCACACAATTCATTGACTATGGTCGAGTAAAATTGAAAGACAAATTACAAGAATCAGTTTTGCCATTTTTACACATGAAGCCTGGTTTAAATTGTGATCATAAATGCATTACACCATCAAAGCAACTTTGAGCATCGGTTTCTCTGATATGCATTACTTTGAGCATCAGTTTTGCCATTTCTACAATATGATCATCAATGCATTACATCATCAAGGACAGATGAAGCATTCAGGAATGACCTTAGCAAAGCCAGAATCAATAAAAAACAACTCAGTTTGCATCATGAGCAATTATAATTCATGACCATATAACTGGGGGAAAGAAAACCATAATGTACAGTCATTACAATTTATTTCAGCCATCTTCTCAAACAAATCATGGACAACAAGCAAAAAAGGAATTCGAAGTTTTTTATTGCTGGTCTTCCATGGAGAAGCTCTTCAAACCTGACATGAACAAAAATGAGATGGACTAAGGTTCAAACACACAAGGCAATTCAAAATCTGAGTGCATCATACTGTATTTATAATCATATGGTCATAGTTTAATGCTGTAAAAAAAATTGGGGCGTCAACCATGTTATGATTTCCTTTGACTACTTGAAAGTATGATAAGCACAGAAATGGATTTGATTGATACTCTCAATTATATGCCATTTAATGCATCAAAATCAGTTGACTAGCTTTTCCCAGTGCCCTGTAGATATATATAGTTAGCATTAGAACATGTTCAAGAAAGCTTTTCTCCTTGAGTCGGTAAAAATGGAAGTGCAAAAGAAAAACTAAGGTTCTAAAATGAAATCGATACATTCTAAATACAAAATGTGAATTCAGCCTATTATGCATCCACCAACACTTAGCAGCTTAGCAGTATGCCAGAAAATGCTTGAAAGGATCCACTTGAAAACTAATTTCTAACAGGATCCTGTATACTTAAGCCCGCTGGTATATAGAATTTTGAGGTAGTGGCTTGTAAATTGGATGACAATTATATAGGTAATTTTCTATAATCTATCAAAGAAACCTATGCCTCTCCTTGGCTGTCAGATATTCTTCGTACACTACGAACTGAAATCATTTACTTTCCACAATGTATTCATCTCCGATATACTTTTATCAAACTGCCTTAGTGTTTTCACCTACAAAAAATTAGATATAAAAATGTTTTGAAATCTCAGACTCAAAGCATGCTTGAGAACAAGGTTATAAAAGTTGCAAAGGTGGTCCATGCAATGGGAACCTTTTCATAGGCCTGGTCTACCAAAATGATTATCTATGCCCAAAAAGAAGAAATAAAGGAAAATAAAGAGCATAGTATAATTACAAGGATGAAAAAAAGTAAGGACGAGAAATTTGGAGGAAGATGAATACATAGGGAAAGATATAGGGATAAAAAAGATATAGAAATATGAAACAAGAAGAGAGGCAGTAGATTCATTTTACAACTTAAAACTACTCATAAGTCATGCAACGATGTATCAGCAATCGAAGCAAGTTGCCCTTTATGATTGTTGATTGCTCAAGTTATCAAGCTTCTCATGTTTTCGTTGATTAATCTCACAAACGAGTCTAATCTACATAAATAAAGATATCTTATAGCCACGGGATGTTTTCCCAATACTAGTCCTCTTCTAGAAGTTCTTACATATTCTCAAACCATTCTTGAAGGGTAGATATCAAGTTCTTTAGCTGTTATAGGAAGTTCTTGAACTCCGATCTAGCAAAACAGAATGTTAATTTCTTAAACGTTACCAAACAAACAATAAATTCTTACTTACGCTTAAAGAATAATGCAAAAACTGTTCTATAAGCTGTGATCATGATCTGAAAATTAAATCCATTTTGAATGACTTAATATCTAAAAAACAGAACTTTTAGGTCGATCAAATGATTGCGAATCTGAACTCTAAAATTGTTACGCAACATCACACAACCAAGACAAAGACAAGAGCAGGGTTCTAGGATCGACCTGGGCGGATCGGAGGGGGAGGGCGGCGGCGGCGATCAGTGATGTCCGCCAGCGGCGTGCTGTTGCTGGTGCTCAAGGTGGCGGCGCTCCTTGGGAAGGGCGAGGAGGTAGGAGAAGATCATGCCGCCGAAGCAAACGTGGTACTGGTTGGACGGAGCTGGTCTCGATGTACTTCTCGAAGTAGCGATCCACCGCTTGATCCACACTCTTCTTGATGTGATCCCACGACAGCTTCGACTTCACGTACGAGGGCACATCCCTGACCTTCATCCCCTTGGTCTCATTGTAGAACGCCCGCAGTGCAGCGCCATCGGAGCACAAACCCTAGAAATCAAGTCAACCGCGGGGCCCAAAAATCGGATCTTTGAGACGGAGACGGCAATCAAAGGCACTATCAGCCAAACGTCCTTGGCGGCGACGTTAAACATGGAACGTCGCATCGTAACGTTGACCTTTCGATGAACGTCAGATACATTGGTCATCGATGAGCTTAGAGAACGCCGTGGACCAGCGTAACGTAACGGCGTCACAAGCACGCTCGTTTCCCATAACCGTCCTTCTCCGTAGTCGTCTACTGTTACTACGACCGTTACTGTTACTAGTGTAACTATAACCACGATTATAGCTACGACCACGACAATTACTACGGCTGATAATAATAACATGTAATGTAAACTAATCCTATGGATTTGCAATGAATAGCTTGGTTAAGTTTAGGGATTCTAATTCTTTCTAGGTTACCACAGCTAATTCTCTAATTAAAGCTTGTTCCCCAAGCAAGCATGTACTATGCCAACCTCAACTTGCATTACTAATAAAGAAATTAGCAAATTTGTATTTATTTTTTTTGAATTTAGCATATGAAACCATAAATACAACAAAGTAACATCTAATATAATATTATGATGATAAGAAAATTAGAGATATTATGAGTATTTTATATATTTATTTATGTTTCCCCAAAAAAACCGGAAGCTCTAATTCGGAGGTATGTTATGCTGTGTAACGCTGCCATAAACAAGCGAAGTCGCCCACGTTATTCTCACCCGGTATTTTTAGCTGGATTGTGCTCTCTCTCTCTCTCTCTCTCTCTTACACTGTGCTGTTCTTTCCCACCCCAACCCGATTCCTTCTCTATATAGGTAACCTCCTCTCCCTTGTCAATCACGTCTCCCCTGGGGTTTCTCCTCTTCGTTGCTTGATGGCTCGAGTTCTCTCCTCCCGAGCCCTAATCCGATCGCTGGAGACCGTGGGGCTGCGCCTCCTCGTGCTCCTCCCCTCCCTCCCGCCCGCAACCCGCCTGCTCGGCCTCCGCCGACGCTCCGGCCGTCCCTGGAGGGTGCACGTCGTGGAGAACGATCTCGACGCTGAGGGATCCAGCACGGGATCCGGGACGGGTGAGGCTGATGCCCTCAGAAAACGCCGCGTCGATGACGCCATCCATAATATGGTAGTCCGCCGGTACGCCCCCGATTGGCTCCCCTTCGTCCCCGGTGCCTCCTACTGGGTCCCGCGCCAGAAACGGCCATACCGCGTCGCGGAGCTCATCGCGGGTCTCGTGGACTCCAGGCTTGCGGATCCCGAGATCAAGAATTCGCCGTCGGAGGACGAGGAGATGTCGTTTGCCACCGAGCGCGGTTGGCCCTCGTCGGCCTACTTCCTTGAAGGTAAGCAATGAGATCTTTAAAATGTAATCGGCACTATGAACCGTGAAATAGCGTAGATTTGGAGAATTTAGCCTCTGTCTCTCTGTTAATTATCTCATAGCAGTGGTGATTTCTGTCTATTTTGGTGGTCTTTTGCACTACTTTATGCATTGGTGACAATTTTCCATTAATTAGTTAATTCAATTATCTAGATTGAAGATGGGCTGAAATATTAACATCTGAATGACGACTTTGGCAAATGTGTTTGCTATTGACCTCGTTATTAAAGACATTTGTCTAAAATATATTGGGAAGAATGATGTTTTATGATAAAGATACTGCTTACTTGACTTAAATTTTCAGAGAATCTCTGGGATTGACACATTATGGAAGAGTTTGGTTTCTTGTACTTGAATATACATTAGAATGATATACATTGAGATCGATATAATTGTTGGGACACTGTTGACTTTGTGAATAACTGTTTAAGTGGCTAACTAGAGCTTGTAGAACATATCTTTAAGAGGAATTCTCACTTTTTATTTTCTTTAACATTTAGAGTTGAAAGCCTATTGATACTGTGGCGTATAGACCATATTACCATCTATGATGGAGGTGTATGGTCTTGGAATGGATCACTTGGATCACTTCTTTGCTCTGACCCATTCATCTACAAGATATGAGTGTTTTTTTGTTTCTATACCTTCATTATCTTTCTTCTGGGAGAAGGTACCTCTTTGATTGCCTAATCCCTCAAATATAGAATCTGACCACATTATCTTTTCATAATTTCTCCTGATCAATTCTTTTTTTAATACAATGGTGCCGAGATATTGATTTTTTTATGTTGTTCCAATTACCAGAATTGTTGTTTTCTTTGTTGATTTCATTCCAGCAGAATGATTGTAGACCATGATAGTGTGCAGTTGTTTATTTCTATATGTTTGGTCATATTTATAATTATAATATTTAGATTATAGACAACAACGAAGGAGAATCCAGATAATATTGATACCGATTTTGAGTTGTTCGGGGTTGTAAGCCTGTCATCCAGCTTTGGTACTCTCTCTCTCTCTCTCTCTCTCTCTCTCTATCAGCAACTAGCAATTCCTGTCGTGCATTTTTATTTGACTTGTTTAAATCACTCACTTTTCACATCAATATTACCATATCTTGGATTTGGAGTTTCTCACTTGTTATTGGATACATTTCTTGAGAGAAAGCTTCTCCAAATCAAGGTAAATCCAATCATGTTGCCATGTTTAACAGACATTTATTTAAATGTAAGCTAAGTTTGCATTTGGCTTAGATCCATGTAGATCAAAGCTAGATCAGCATGAATGCAGCGTTGATTCAAGGAAATTTGCCCGAGATGTCCATAAATCCTTGCAAATTGGGCTCAGATCCATGTTATTCTAAGTTGTATCTTCACTATTCATGTGTATTTATTTTAAAATCGTGTGCCTAAATCCATTTCATAATGTTCGTAAAACTGTATGGTTGGTACCAATGATCCGTATGGGGTTTGGGTTCGACGATCTGTCGACTCGATTTCACCTTTCGGATTGAAGTTTTGGTGGAGGAGAGAACTATTGCAGAAAGACCAATCGTAAAATCGAAAGAAAACAACCTCTATTGTTTATAAAGTCAAAGTACTAACTATGAGATCTGAAACAACAGAATAAAAAGCATGATAGAAAGCCTATGGGTGCATGAAAACGTTAGTCGTTTTTGGGCAGCATGTCGGTGCTCTCGGCATCGCATCTTAGATGTCAGTTTCGGTCTCCTCTTTTTGCTGTCGGAACCTTCTCTTGAGGTTTGGGCAGCAAATAGTAGGCGTTGAGGACTTCCTGCAGCTGCTTGATGAAGCTTTGGGGCTGTTGGAACGCGAGGAAGAAGGCTGTGGCTGGAAGAAGTTGGCTGCTACAATGCTGGAAGAATTCTAGGGCCAGTTGGCTCTTAGTTGAGGGCTTCCTTGTTCTCTTTTGGGATGCTTTGGATGAGGGTACACCCTTTGTTTTATAGGGTGAGGGCTATCCCAAATCCTTAGGGTTTAAGGATTTTCCTTGTAGGGCCAGCACTTCTTATGGATGATAGGTCAGTAGAGAACATATTGTTAAAATAAGATATACAATACCACATAAACTGATCTGAAAGCCAACCAGGACACAAAAGGAATGATTTCACCCAGTCAGTCCAATGTAGGTTGTATAACTCGACAAATTCACTGTATGGGTCTTATTAAACAGTAATCAGACCAGTACCAAATGGAACCAAACATTTGAGACGTAATAGAAGCAGAAGTTGCCTATTTTAATGTTTGAGACCACTTAAAAATAAGCTGATATGTGTGCAAAAGATAGTTAAGTTCCTAAATCGAAATGAAAAACTAAATAAAAAGACGATTAGCATAACAAAAACTGCAGAAATGAGAATGAGGACAACTATATTGTAGCAGTAATTAGTTTTAATTACAACAAAAGAAACTCAGCTGAGAAAATGCCACAAAAGTAATAAGGCATCTCGCACGGTCTTCTAGTGCACTCCACAGACTTTTATCATAAGGAACTTGTTCTTTGGTTGAATTCCCCGATAACAAAGAAACAGGACTTTGTGTTTCATAAATGTGCAGTTTCCTGAATATTTTGGGCATGACAAACCAAGCCAATAATGTAGTAGACGGTCCCGGTTACTGGAACAATCACCTTCTCTAGTTATGGATGTTGATCTTATAACTCTTGCAAATACGGAGTCACATTATCATACAAGTCTTTAGCTTTCTTTTCTGTGCTAATAGCAGCATCTACAACAGACTCATGAGCATGGTCAAGTATAGCTACCCAGTCATTCCCCACAGCACCAGTATTTCCATCCTTTGATGCTTCTGTATTTGCAGTATTTTCAAGAGCCCTTTGGACACCATCTTTTTGCTTCCAGAATGGGAAAAATATGTTCAATAGTTGTATTTTGCATTTAAGCACCATGGAGATAAGGTGACTAATACAAGTAAATGCATATATTCAGCATGTTAAGGTGGTCAACTAATGCTACACTGGTGTGGTTGAATTGTATAGTGAAATAAAATGGATTAGGCAAGAACCTCTATTCTATCATCAGGATTGAATCAAAGACTTTGCAGTTAGCTCTATGCTGTTGAATAATTAACAAGTGAATTTGGTGCTTTGGTTAAAGATAATAAGATGGCTTTGACAAGAGACTAAAGACTTGGATCTTTTGGACTTGCTATCACGAGATTTGATGTATAATGGACCCTTGCTAAGGGCTAGTGCCTGTCACATTCTGTGTTATGCTAGACCCGAATTATCCTTCCTGCTCTTATTTCATGTCGTCAAGATTCTGCTACATTATCAACTTGGTTTATGATGCTGTATTAAGCATTCACCATACTTGAGATGTATCATGTTCTCCTTACAAAAACTGAAAAATGAAAAAGCATTCCTGGTCTAGATAAGCTAGCTGTTGTTCAGGAGTTGTATAATTAATTTTACTGAAGTTTGTGGGTGCACTGGAAAACTGCTAGTTGATTGTCTTCTATGCTGCACCTATGAATCACATTATCTCTTTGAAGTTATCAAATTGCCTCATCTAATTGATTCCTTATCCTGAAAGTTGTTTAGAGTAAACAATCTTATTCCTTTTTATAATTGAATAATGTACCACATTAAATAAAGAACAGATTTAGAGATGAGATGTGCATTCCGTTAATGTAATTCATGGTTCTCTAATCATGACACTTTGTATGTATTACAGATTTATCCCCACAACAGATGAGTCAGCTTAAGGTGCCGAAGACACAATCTGATGATGAAGACAGCTGACTGTTTATCTGGTACTCCAAGGGTGAGAATCTTTTATTCCATAGAGTAGAATTAACCCTCATTTATTTCCATAGGATTATCCATGGAACAATAAATACCTCACCATGTACAAAGGATCATGCCTCAATTAATTAACGAGCAGGTGCAATATATATTTGGTTTAATAAGTATAATGATGCCAGAATCAGAAGTCTTTGTAGTAATTGGTGCTTTGATATCTCATTTCTTTTGTTGTTCCACAAGTGATTGGCTGGTGCGGCACAATCAAATGGTCACCAAGATTCATGTGGGTTCAGATTATGTTTGGACATTCGTCCTATCTAAGCCTTATGACAGTCTTGTTATGTTCGTTTAGTCATTAGAGGACTAAGCTATCTTTCTCTCGCCATGCAGGCTCTGCGACAATGTGCATAGTGATGTGCCAACAACAACACCGACTCAGCAGCTTCACACTGGACAGGGGAGGTGGAAGCTTTTGGTAGATTAACCCACCAATGCAAACATATGCTGATGTGCTATCGTCCCCTTTACACCCTTGCAATGACGATTAATATAACTTAAGCGTTATTTGTTTCTGAATAATAATGCCATATTTTATCCATTTGTTCTTCTATGAAATCCTTAAATGTTCAAAAACTACAATGTTGGCATGTCAAGGGACTTGAGAGAATCTTAACTCGGTAGCTGCTGCACGTATTGAAGCTTTCACTTGGAATAGCCAGACACTTGCAACAGTTTACAACTTCATGTGTAGATTTGTGTCGGAGTTTGTTGGTCTATATAAATTATTTATCCACATCTATGCATTGTGATACATGATTACTCGAACAAGTGGTGCAATGTCATGCTTCGTTTTACCAAATTATATTGGTGTACCAATATATTATGGATTTAATTGATTTTGTTTAAGTCATATGGTATTTTTACATGTTAATATTAATGTTAATTTGTAAAGCGTCGGTTTCTCGAAATCTCATATGATTTTTTAAGGATATATAAATAAAAGACGGGTTAGATGAATACAAGATCTACAAACAGTAATTTCAGTAAACACTCGATAGACAATATAAATTACAAATATATATTTTGTAAGTTTTGAATGGTTATGCGATAAAATATCCGAGGTAGTTCGTCGTGATCAAAAGTCCTATAAGTGCACATATGATATTATTGTGAAATAAGATAAAGAACCAGCCTTAGACATTACCCCAAATGCTCATCTAACCATGTGTCATACGGGTAGCTCCTGTTGACTGATACTTCGCACCACTCTATGGAGCTAGAGACCCCCAAAACGACTTCCTAAATAGCTTGTATCTATGTATTTTACCTCTACGCGACGATTGTACACAACTTGTGTTTACAAGTCTAAAACGATCATAAAAGTTAAACTAAAATAGGATTATCAAACCTACGATAAATCCTCTACATGTTGTGCAAAGCATGAACAAAACTGAAAGATACAGACATATACGAGCATTACATTAAACACCATGTTTACAGCTTTGTTTATGACATTCTCCCCCTTCGATGTCCTCGTCGAAGCTTTTACGGATGTTGCATCTTCTCGCCTTTGTTGAATCTTTAATCTTCTGCTCTAGTCGCAATGCGCCTCTTGGCGCCAAACTGCTCTTCAATTAAGTAGTCAAACTTTGATCTGTCATGCTACTTCAACTTGTCAATTATTCTGACTTTAGTATAGGGTCGGTTGGGTTGTGCCGATCCTTGTTGGTTCTTACGGATCCTTCAGATGAAGGAATATACCTTCATTTTTATGCGCTAGTCTCTCAAATATCTCACGTTGCTTGAATTAGGTAGATGTCTATTGGAGATGTAATGGGCATCGCCTCGTAAACTTTGAAGTTTTTTATATCTTTCCTCCATAAAATTTGCTCATCGATTCCTTTTTTTTATTTAGTCATTGCCTCCAAGTAAGTTTACATCACTTCAGCTTTTGATTGATATTCTATTGGGAAATGAAGCAGACAGTTTACTCTCGATAGCACCGATCATCATTTGTGAGGATTTAACACATATTGTCTTTTACATTTTTTAAGGGTCTTTGAACATGTATAGAGCTCATTTGTTAAATAAATAAGAGAACTTGTTAGTCATAGGTACCCTGCAAGTCAATCATGTGAGTGATAACACGTGTGACATGGTGCATAATCTTTATTATTATTATCATTATTATTGATATTTTTTCACTTTATATTGCATGTTGCATAGTGATGTCCATGAATCTGTGCAATGAGAATTAGATTGTGATGAGATAATGATAATGAGACCAATTCACCTTTAAATATAGACTCCAAATAATCTCGGTCATAGATTATTCGAAAGGGACATCGAGATAATCAGACATACTGATGTGCTATATACCTATCGGTATGATGGAGGGGCATGATCTCATAGTTGCTCGTGTGAAGACACTAGGGGTACAATGCAGGTGCTTATTTGAGAATGAGTTCACTGATCGACCCACTCACAGAATACTCGATGGTTAATGATACATCATTATCAGACATCGATTTTGTGGTCCCAATTATGTATCTGGTCCTTAGACTTGAGACACCAAAATGTCATGTATTAGTACTTCACTCTTTGATACCAGACATAGAGGTTTGGAAGTTCAAGATCTAGCCCAACCAATCATCGGGAGTGGTAGCCAGCCTTACGAGGGCAATTGAGTATTGACAAATGATCATTCACTCTCGATGTAATGAGAGGAATATCCTATGTGTTCTTGCTTAGGCAAATCCTTAGCTAGAGTCATTCGGATTGAGAGAGAATGAGTTCTTCGGAAGAATCTGATTAGAGCGAGACTCGAGTAGATTCCGTATAGGCCTGACAGCACCATGCTTGATATATGGTCTCTAGAATATTAGATGGATGAGGGAATATAGATACATGGTAATTGAGGACAGACAAGTCCAATGGATTGGATTCGTTCGGATATGAGATATTCACTAGAGCCATATCTTATTAGATATCCAATAAGCCCCTAAATTATTGGATCCTTTGGGTGAGACCCAATAAGACTAAATAGAAATTATTGGATAGAGGTCCACTAATCCAAGAGGCTCACGTAATTGGATAGAGATCTAATATCCAATAGGGCATGATCCATCAAGTTTAAGTGGCAAAAACCTCTATAAATAAGAGAGGCCAAAAGCTAACATAGGCTAGTCATCTCTTTCTATACTCTTCCCTCTCCTCTTCCCCTCAGCAGACAACCCCAATTTGGGACATGTGGATAGCAAGAAGGGTCGTCCCCTTCTTGATCACGTGGTGTGTAGAGAGGAAGATCATGCAGCGATTTGAGAAGGGTCTTCACTGCATCTATCATGTGAATCATCACAAGAGAGGACAATTGACCTCCTTCTCTACTCTTATAGATATGAGATTTTTCAGGGATATATGATCTCCCTAGGTAACAAATCTCTCTTGATACATATGGTTTTTGGTTTTGCAATTTTGTTTTATGCACTAATCATCACATGAAGATAAGATATTTTCCAGGAAATCTGGGTTTTTATGTTTTTTGTTCTTCTACTGTGCATGTGATGATCTGATCAGATTTCCCAACAAAATTGAGGTACTCAATTTCGCTTATTTTTTTAAGAGTTAAAAAGATAAATATTACTTGACTTTGCTCACCTCCTTGATTGTTATACTGAACGCATTGAATTGGTTACTAACTTTTGTCTACACTTTGCTCACACTTTCGAAGCACCCAAAGTGTTTACACTTATTGCATTGAATTAGCTACTGCAATTTGCTTTCTTATTATTATTAAACTTTTGGAATACAAAAAGTTTTGCTCGAAAAGAGCAAAAGTTTATCCCAACTTAGAGCAAGTTTAATAGTTTTGGTTGCCTATGAGATTATACTATCATCTCTATCATTTTTGTCACATACTCCTTTAAGAAGAAAAAATACAACACCATATATTACCTACTTCGTTCCTTAGTTAAGTACTCCTGCATCAACTCGAAGTCTCTCACTTTTAGATATTTTGATAAGAAACCCATTGATATCAGTCTTATAAAGTTCTCTAACTTTTACACTTCAACTTTATCTAGGTATTTGGAGTTTGCCTCTATATTCTCTACCACCTCGGCCCATTTCACGATCAAGCATTCTCCTTCATAAGAGTAAGGGATAGATGACTCCACGGAAGACCCACATTTGTGATATCATGATGCTGCTATGCCCATCGTCATACTATCTATCACCTTGCATTTATGTCTCTTTCTTCGTGATCGATAGATCTGCCTCTATGGTACCGTGACACTCCTATGAGTCTACCTATATTTTAATCTATGCTTAGTTTTAGATAGATAAGTCCTTATGGACCTATCATCACTTCCTTGCCTCTTTCGACCATCTACTTCGATACTTTTGTGTTCTCTGAGCTATTCCTCTTGATCGATGGAAAGACAAACTATAATTTTCATACATGGCCTTCGCCATCATGTTGTAGAGCTCATGTTGATTCTATTATCCTTTGCTTCCTTAGTAACAATATTTGCTTACTTGGTATTGTCCTCTGATTTGGCGGGGTCTCTTAAGGGAACATGAGTTCTACAATAGTCTAACTCTCCAGCCGCTCCGATCATACCTCTGTATGATCAAGACCCCTCCCTCCCCCCTATGGGACTCATTAGTACTTGCACTTTAAATTCTCACTCGGTGGTACATAGTCCTCATATGCTAATAACCAAGACTTTCATTCGATGCAAAATTCGATATACACATGGAAGACTCACCTCTATAATACCATGGCATTCACTCTTTGAATCTATAGTCTTTCTTATCATTATGTTGTTCACCAATGTGGAGCTCCCAATAGCTTTTGATCATACCTCCGTATGATCAAGTCCCTCATGGGACCTCTCTTGTGTGTGTTGCATTGCTTAGAACTATTCTATAATGATCCGTTGCGCTATGTTGTCTCATAGTGATATCTTTATTGCATTATTATCTTTGTGGGATGAATTCGGACTGTAATCTCTTTATGTGTGGCATTTGGTAGCACAGGGCTTTTGTCACTTCCAATTATATTCGCTCATTTGATAATCAACCTGTTGGGAAATCTAGGGCAACATCACATGCATAGCAGAAGAATAAAAATAAAAATATCAAATTTTCATAAAAAAAATAATCTCTTATCGTCATGTAAAGATTAGTGCACAAAAACTTGTAAAATAAAAAAATTGCATATGTAAGCAGATTGTGTTACCTAAGAAGATCGTATATCCCTGAATTTCTACAAATCTATAAGAGAGGATGAAGGAGGTCAACTGTCCTCCTCTCTAACGATGATTCATACAACATGGGCTACAAAGATACTTCTCAAATCGCTGCTCAAATCTCCTCATTGCATGCAACACACAATCTAGAAAGGGGGGACCCTTCGTGCTGTCCACATGCCCTAAATAGGGGCTACAGGTTGAGAAGGATAGAGAGAGAGAGAGAGAGAGAGAGAGAGAGAGAGAGAAGAATAAGATGTGATAGCCAAAAGGGGTCTAGCCTATAACTCTTTGTTTCTCTCCTATTTATCGAGGTCCTATGTCAACTTAACCCTAATGGATCCTACCATATTAGGTATTAGATCTTCATCCAACTACCCAAGTCTCTTAGATTAGTGAGTCTCTACCCAATAATCTCTCATTGGCTCTTATTGGATCTCATCCATATGATCCAATAATTCAATGACTTATTGAATATCCAATAAAATAGAGACTCCAACGGATATCTCATATGAGATATCCGAGTGGAGTCTCTATTAAT